AAGAAATTTAGCATTGAATTTGACAATCATTAATATATTTGCGTGGGTTCATTAACGTTTTCAAACTTTCATTAGCGTTTTGGTGCAGACAATAAGCCACAACACACATTCAATACAGTGTTTTGGACATTTATTTACGCAATACAATATAAGTATATCCACTAGGAATTGTAGGATTTTAACTGTCTTTCCATTTTTTACAAGCCGTGAATATGACTTCGTACAAGCAAAGCGCCGTTAGATATAAATATCAAATCAGTTCTGAGTTTTTTAATCCCTTTTTTTTTTTGGATATTGCATTGGCTCAACAAAGAAACCAAATTCCAAATAAAGTCAGATAGCGTCTTGTGAGGGCCTATGAAGATCCACAGAAATGCATACAATGGTACAACCACATGCAAACATATCGTCCAAGATGTTTAAATAGAGAACACATTCAAGGATAAGTTCACTTTCTTGTCTTTGAAAACCTACAATCGTAAAAGCACAATATACACCTTTTGCCGTTCATTAACAGAAAATGTACATTCATTTGTGCCAATAGTGGTATCAATAACGTGTAATGTACTTTCTTCAACACCACAAGTAACATCATTAGCGCGGATCAACTTTCAATAACGATAATTGAATATGCGTGTACATTCATAGGCATCAATGGACAATCAATAGCGCGTTAGTACATTCATATGCGCGGAATGTATTTTCTTGTGCGCGAAATTCAACTTCAATAACACCAATTGACAGACAGTTGCATTTATGGACAATCATTTACCCAAAAGTGAAAATTCATTAGTGCTATTAGCATAATCATTGACAATCTATAACRCGTTTGGACAATCATGAGGGTCAACGTTATATTCTATAGCGTGGTTYGACAAACATTTGCATGATTCGAATAAACAATAAGAAAAATAAAACAATCATTAGCGATTTAAAAAAAAACTATTTTAGCCTTCAATTTCTTTGCCATTTATACATCGTGGCAAATACGTTTGCATATATCTGAACCACAGATCACATTTAGCGATAGTGATGGTTGCCACATTTCTCTGGAACCCTTCCATTAGCAACTGCTTTCTGTAGAGACCCAATAGTTCGTATGTTGTTGGATCTCTGGACGGCTGATGTCGGCTTTAATTGCTGCTTTAAGTGAGCTAATTGCTATTCTCCTACGCAGCCGCTATTATGGAGGCAGTTTCCTGAGTTTTTTATATGTTTTAAAGTGATAAAAAAATCGCTAATGATTGTTTTATTTCTCTTATTGTTCATTCGAATCATGCAAATGTTTGTGGAAGGGAAGGGTTCCAGAGAAATGTGGCAACGATGCATAAATGGCGAAGAAATCGAAGGCTAAAATAGTTTTTAAAAAAATCGCTAATGATTGTTTTATTTCTCTTATTGTTCATTCGAATCTTGCAAATGTTTGTCGAACCACGCTATAGAATATAACGTTGACCCTCATGATTGTCCAARCGCGTTATAGATTGTCAATGATTATGCTAATAGCACTAATGAATTTTCACTTTTGGGTAAATGATTGTCCATAAATGCAATTGTTTGTCATTTGGTGTTATTGAAGTTGAATTTCGCGCACAAGAAAATACATTCCGCGCATATGAATGTCCAAACGCGTTATTGATTGTCCATTGATGCCTATGAATGTACACGCATATTCAATTATCGTTATTGAAAGTTGATCCGCGCTAATGATGTTACTTGTGGTGTTGATGAAAGTACATTACACGTTATTGATACAACTATTGGCACAAATGAATGTACATTTTCTGTTAATGAACGGCAAAAGGTGTACTTATATTGTATTGCGTAAATAAATGTCCAAAACACTGTATTGAATGTGTGTTGTGGTTTATTGTCTGCACCAAAACGCTAATGAAAGTTTGAAAACGTTAATGAATCCACGCAAACATATTAATGATTGTCAAATTCAATGCTAAATTTCTTAATGAAAGTTCCATCGCACTCTTGAGAGTCCGTTCGCCTTATTGTATGCCTGTTCGCTCTAATGACAATGCTTCCTCGCTTCGATGAATATTCCTTTGCCGTTAATGAACAGCAAAAGGTGTAAATGGCATCAACGCCCCTCCGAGAGGCTGCGATGACTTAACGTGCAATCGAAGAACTGAAGGATACGTGACTAGACAGAAAGAAACGACGCATGAGTTAATGCTTTATTGCAAGCACAAACTTATTATCTTAACAACGTTAAAAATAAGTAGCCTCATGCAAACGCTGTTCAGTATCTCTTTAAATGAATACCGAGTTCAGCTATCTTCAAACAACACTAGTTGGTACCTCACCCCAGTTCAATACTTCGTGCCCGGCCCGAAAGATTCAAGTAAAATGAATTTCAACTGAATACCGAGTTCAGCGAACTCCAAACAGCACTAGATAGCAACTTCAAGAAAATACTTTTTAAAAGCTGAGCTGTTCAGCCGTCAAATAGCATAAAAATGAAAGACGCCGCATACTATCACAAACCTTATCTCTGACTCTCTATTGTAAACCGGCTCGTATCTTGTAGAAGCAGTAGGATATCGTTTGGAGTTTAATCGAAGGTTCTGTGTTCTTCGACCGTGTCGCCGGTTTAGGGAACAATTGGTTGATTGAGGCGGATACTTAATATACATTCAATTCAAAAAACGTTGTCGTCGACCGGCTCAAGCCTACGCGACTGGACCAAGGGCGCTAGGACACCGAATGTGGTTCGATTTCTATAGGTTTTTTGTTTGTTGTGATCAGTTTCCTTTTACATAAGCTGTAATCAGATCTGCGTGCTGTAATCAGATCGGCGCTGTAAACTGACAGCCCGTTGGTGTTTTGTTTCTTATGGGTTGCCTGTGGTGTGTAACGCACTTTCTAGTAAACACTCAAAAGAGTTTACTAGAGAGTGCGTTACCAACGGTTATTGATTTGAATTTAATGGGCTATCAGTTTACAGCGCCGATCTGATCATAGCGCAGATCTGATTACAGCTTATGTAAAAGGAAACTGATCACGACACAGGAAACCCACAAAGAGCAAAGTTAATTTTCTAAAAGAAGAAAAAAATATATAGCCGGGTTCCCTGTGCCGGGGTAGGCTACTAGCCTGCTTGCCATTGTTCTCTCGTCTACTCGCTTAATCCTATTATTTTGAAAGGTGGGGTGGCAGTGTGTTTACACAGCGATGACAGATGCAGCACCAACGCTAGTGTACGAACCACTGCCGAGCCTACACAGGGGTAACACGATCTCCCTCGGCATTAGTAGTATTTTCGGCATGAGTAACATTTTCGCTTCAATTGCAAAGAAAGTTACTAACTCTCTTTAGAATATTAGAGTCCAATTAGAGAAAAGCATATCTTGAACCCAGGGTTCTGTTTACGAAATGAAATGTAACTTTTCTACCTCAACGGTCAGAAAGTTAAAGTTCAAAAATATCAATATCGACCAGTAGGTCATTTTAGGTCACGCTCACGTTGACTGGACGTGTACAAGTAAGTAAACAAATAAAGATTAGATTGCCATTACGAAATATCCTAAAAAAATTTCCTTTATTGTAGTTGATGATACAAAAGGAGGAAGTTTCTTTGAGTAAAAATTGTCGCATGAGAGTGGGAATTTTAGTGTGTGTGGTAGTAGCGTGTTGTCGTTGATCGATGTTACATAAATCTCTAGTGTCCTGTAGTCACGTCTTAGGGTTCGAATTACTAGCGTTCGGGTCCGAGTGAGGGCCGAGGGAGATCGTGTTACCCCTGTGTAGGCCCGGCAGGATTGTGT